TTTTTTGAGACAGAGTCTCACTCTGTTGCCCAGGCTGGAGTGCAGTGGTGTGATCTCAGTTCACTGCAACCTCCACCTCCCAGGTTCAAGCAGTCCTCTTGCTTCAGCCCCCTGAGTAGCTGGGATTATAGGTGTGCACCACCATACCCAGCTAATTTTTTTTTAAAGACAGGGTTTCACCTTGTTGTCAGGTTGGTCTCAAACTCCTGACCTCAGGTGATCCACCCTCTGAGGCCTCCCAAAGTGCTGGGATTACGGGCGTGAGCCACCTCACCCAGCTTAATTTTCCTATTTTTAGTAGAGACAGGGTTTCACCATGTTGGCCAGGCTGGTCTCATACTCCTGGCTTCACGTGATCTGCCTGTCCCAGCCTCCCAAAGTGCGAGGATTATAGGCACGATCCACAGCACCCAGCCTCAGGTATTTATTTATAGCAATGCAAAATGACCTAACACAGTGCTCCTTTCACAAGCTCCTCTTTGAATCTCTAAAAGCAGCAAGAATCAGATCCTTGCCAATTTGGGTTTAGGGGAAATAAAAACAGCAGGGTTCAAGGATCTATTTTATCATCAGATATCCTCCGGATGTCCTCTAGAGGTCTTAATCCCACCCTCCTCTTAATCACCTTCATAAAAATTACATCATGATTGTACTTTATCAAAGTTGAATAGTTGCCCTCTGTTAATCTGGGTAGTAGCCTTCTTTACCAGACTGGAAGCACCTTGAGGGTAAGTGTATTAGTCAGTTCTCATGCTGCTCATAAAGACATACCCGACTAACTTGTAAAAAAGAAAACTTGTAACAGACTCACAGTTCCACGTGGCTGAGGAGGCCTCACAAACATGGTGGAAGTCGCAAAGCACATCTCTTATGGCCATGGCAGCAGACAAAACAGACTGAGAGCTAAGTGAAAGGGGAAACCCCTTATCAAACCATCAGATCTCGTGAGACTTACTCACTACCAGGAGGACAGTATGGGGAAGACCGCCCCCATACTGTTCAATTATCTCCCACAGGATCCCTCCCACAACAGGTGGAAATTCTAGGAGCTATAATTAAAAATGAGATTTGACAGGGGACACAGCCAAATCTTATCAGTGGGGATCCCGTCTTGCTCTCTTTGTGCCAAGGATAGTAGATGCTCAATTAATGTATTGAAATGGTTTTTGTTGAAAAAAGTTTTAAGTGTAGTGTTCCACCAAAATTAAAAAAAAAAAAATTTTTGAAAAGTAAAATGCATCGTAACTTGTATACAGCATGTAATTTTTATGTCTTTATGTATATGTGGCAATGCTACAGCATGGCTGTTTGAACCCAGAATTCCTTACGGCTTTCCTCAGAACCCCAGGGCTCCAATGAGAATACTGAGTGAGACAGCCTAAGCCAGTCTGCTAAACACTGGAGGTGAGCCTTGAGTCACAGTGCCCCACCCGGTCAGATCAGTGCTTCCCCCCATCCCAGCGCTCACAGTCCTGGCTCATCATTTCACCATCTAAAAAGAAAAGAGCATGGCCACTGTCAGAGCTTGTTAGCCTGTATCTGTGCTGCAGATGAGCAGCATTTCAAGTCGTCTTGAGTAAAGTCTATGTTGCTGGCAATAGTTGTGTTATCCTGACTTCTCTTCCCCAAGACCTGCTCTCTGTAACAGAGATGTGTTATGAAATGCTGTCAAGTCTTGCTTCTCCCTTTCTTTCCTTTGGGAGCACCCAGCCAATGGAAGCCTCACAGGTGCAGGCAGTCAGCGATCAAGCTGCTCCGCAGGTGCCTCCCCCAGCCTTCCAATAACCAACTGCTCACATACAAGCTCTGGAACCCAGGTGAGGCAGGAAAGGACATCATACATCCCACAGGTTCGGTGTCCACAGCCTTTTAGCTTCTAACTAGAGCGGGGGCTCTCTACCTTTATGGCTGGGCAGCAGCAGCATAACCTAGGAGCCTACCAGAAATGCAAATCCCTGAACCCCACCCTTCCTACTGGGGTAGGGCCCAGCAATCTGCACTTGACCAAATGTTCTAGGTGATGGGAGACTCACTCAAGTGTGAGAACTGCTAACTGGAGTTAGTTAGTTCAGAGAGAGCTCCACCCCAGCAGTCCCTAACAGGGTGGAAGGGTGCTCCCTGTTTCCGAAGCCAGAAGACAGAGAATAGAGGAGACCTCCCTTCAGGTTCACGCGAGTGAGGGCTCCTCTGGCAACTGGCTAAGGGCTTCTTTGGAAGCTGCACGGATGGTGCAGGTAGACAATATTGTTCCCAACAGCCTCACGTGGGGCATGGGCACCCCGCTTCTCCAGCACAGAGATTCATGTAACTTCCTTTTTTCCCTCTGATACTTATGAAAGCCTGAGTCCTGAGTTGCAGCCTCCCTTAGCGAACTTCATGAATCCTTGCCAACCAGGCCACCTACAGCGTCATTATAATTCCAACAAACTAGAACACGCCCAGAGATGCTGCCTAGATAGTATCAGCTTTGGGCTCAGAATGGAGACAACAGTGCAGGGGCAGGGGAGGGGCAGGAAGAGCCAGGAAGACAGAGCTGGAGGAAGGGATGGAGTGCTCAGGGAGTCGCAGGTGGTGTCCGCACTTACAAAATGCTGGCTTTTACATTTGGAGAATTTCGGCCTCTGGAGCCGAGGAGAAAGAACTGCAGTTCACTTCTTTGGCATCTCCTTCCAGGGCCAGGGAGATCCTAGAACGCCAGTTGAATGCCCATGGCAAGTTCCTGGTACCAGTTCTATTACTTGGGGCCAGCCAAATTTAAACAAATAGAGTGTGGAGCGAAGGAGGGAGAAGAGTCAGGTGAAATAGGAAACAAGGAGGGACAGCCAGGTGCAGTGGCTCTCGCCTGTAATCCCAGCACATTGGGAGGCCGAGACAGGTGGATCACTTGAGGTCAAGAGTTCGAGACCAGCCTGGCCAACATGGTGAAACCCCATCTCTACTAAAAAAATATAAAAATTAGCTGGGCGTGGTAGTGTACACTTGTAATCCCAGCTACTTGGGGGGCTGAGGCAGGAGAATCGTTTGAATCCAGGAGGCAGAGGTTGCAGTGAACTGAGATTTTTCCACTGCGCTGCAGCCTGGGCGACAGAGCAAGACTCCACCTTAAAAATAAAAGAAAAAAGAGGCCGGGTGCGGTGGCTCACACCTGTAATCCCAGCACTTTGGGAGGCCGAGGTAGGCGGATTACCTGAGGTCAGGAGTTCGACTAGCCTAGCCAACATGGTGAAACCCTGNCAATGGTAAACCAAATTTGGAAGATAAGATATGTAATTATTTGGAGAAACAATTCCCATGTTATATTTTCAGTTTGGATATATTCTAAGAACACTAAAAATATAAAAATGAATGAATAAATAAATAAATAAAAAGGGACTGGCAGATTTGCCCCCTTTGACCTGCATCCAGCCATTTCACACTCAGCTGCTTCTTGCCATCTGCTTGCAGGACTGGCACGTCAGAGCAGTCGTGACCATCTTAGCATCCTCGGAGCCTGTGGCTAATTCAAATCAGACAGAGTCAGACTGCTGAGAAGAAAATGATAGAAACAAAGTATTTATTATTTTCCATTTAAAAAAAAGGAAATAGTGCCCAAGAGAGGAACGTTCCTAAGGAAACCCAGTGCTTCTTGCTGTGTCTTCTCTAAATGACAAACCCCCTTTGGCAAAAGAAAACAATTAATGCAACTAGAACTGCCTTGTGAGAGCAAAGTTTAATTCTGACCCAGAATTATAGTAATTGTTGAAAGTTCTATGTAAGTGGTAAACCACATCTGGCATAACTGAGGAAGTAAAGTACATTTCCTGATCATCAACCATCACGGAAAAGCACACTTAATTTGCATCTCAAGTCGTCTGGAGTCAAGTCTACGTTGCTGGCAATAGTTGTGTTAACCTGACTTCTCTTCCCGTAACAGAGATACGGGATATGCTGTGAAATGCTGAAATGCTGTCACTTAAGTCTTGCTCCTCCCTTTCTTTCCTTTGGGAGCACCCGGCCAGTGGAAGCCTCGCAGGTGCAGGCAGTCAGCGACGTTGTGGGCGATATAGTAGAGGTTCAGCATGGCCGCTGGGCTGAGAATGTCCACTTCCGGTTTCTTCTGTTTCTTCCCATGAGACTTGCCCTGGCCTTTTCCTTTTTTCCCTTTACCTGGCTTTCAAAGACAAATATAAATATGGAAGGAGGGAAGTTAGTTTTTCATTTTATTATTATTTTTTTTTTCAGATGGAGTTTCACTCTTGTCACCCAGGCTGGAGTGTAATGGCACAACCTTGGCTCACCTCCACCTCCACCTCCTGAGTTCAAGCGATTCTTCTGCCTCAGCCTCTGGAGCAGCTGGGATTACAGGCATGCGCCACCATGCCCTGCTCATTCTATATTTTTTGTAGAGACAGGGTGTCTCCATGTTGGTCAGGCTGTTCTCAAACTCCTGACCTCAGGTGATCCACCTGCCTCAGCCTCCCAAAGTGCTTGGATTACAGGTGTGAGCCACTGCGCCCGGCCTCTTTTTTTTAAGACAGAGTTTCACTCCCACTATCCAGGCTGGAATGCAGTGGCATGCTGTCAGCTCACTACAACCTCCAAATCCTGGGCTCAAATGACCCTCCTGCCTCAGCCTCCCAAGTAGCTGGGATTACAGGCACCCACCACAGCTGGCTAATTTTTGTATTTTTAGTAGAGTCAGGGTTTCACCATGTTGGGTAGGCTGGTCTCTTCCCGCCTCGGCCTCCAAAATTGCTGAGATTACAGGTGTGAGCCACCGCACCAAGTCAAGTTAGTTTTTATAAACTTGATATCATTTTCAGTATTTCTGTTTGAACAAGAAAAAAATCCTAAAAAGAAATGAGTGAAAACAGCAGCCACACCAGTTTGCATTGTCTGTCTTCTCTAAATGACAAACCCCTTTGGCAAAAGAAAACAATTAATGCAACCAGGACTGCCTTGTGAAAGCAAAGTTTAATTCTGACCCAGAATTATGATAATTCACATGCAATCTAATTTGCATGGAAGTCACATGCAATCTAATTTGACAAGTGTTTATTAAGCACCCAGATTAAAGAGACCCAACCTAATGCAGAGTGTGGCCCTCGTTCGAATTCTTATTTGAACAAGCTGCAAAAAGATGTTTTTGAGTTAATCAGGGAAATCTGATAATGTCAAAGAATTATTAGTAATTCTATGAGGTCTGATAATGGCATCGGATGATAGAAGGAAATGTTTGCACGCTTCTGAAGCGCACACTGAAGTCTGCAGGGATGAAATGAAAGGAGGCTTTAAAACACTGCAGCTCCCCCACTGTCCCTTGCCCAGAAAAAAACAGAAAGCAAGTGTGGCAAAATCCTAATCATTCCTGAGTCTGAGAACTGGATATATGAGGATTTACTTCACAATTCTATTTTCGTTTATGTTTGGAAATTTTCGTAATAAACATTAAAACAAGTTTGATAATCAGGATGCAAATATATATTGTGGCATTTGTTTCACAAGTAGTCTCTACCTCATCAAGCAGTCATGAGGTTTAAGTGAGACACAAAGATACCAAGCACAATGTCTGATATGAAAGAAATAATAAATGATGATTTTCATTACTTTCCTTTCTTTTTTTTTTTTTTTGATATAGGGTCCTCCTGTGTCACCCAGGCTGGAGCGCAGGGGCACAAACTCAGCTTACTGTAACCCTGATCTTCCAGGCTCAAGCGATCCTCCTACCTCAGCCACCCAAGTAGCTGGGACCACAGGCGTGAGCCACCACATTTGGCTAATTTTTTTATTTTTGAGTAGAGGCAGTCTCGCTATGTTGTTAGGCTGCTCTTGAACTCCTGGGCTCAAGCGAGCCTCCCATCTTGGCCTCCCAAAGTGCTGGGACTACAGGCTTGAGCCACTGTGCCCAGCCTGGGCCATTATCTTTAATACCACCAATCCTCAGAGCTGTATTTCAAGGTAGGTAGGTGGGTATTATTCCTGCCTTCAAAAATGGAAATGTAGGGGCTCCGTGAGGTTACCCAGCACATGAAAGCACATGTCCACCAGGCTCGGTGTCTATTCTCCTCCTATGACTGCCCCAGAAGGTTGGTGTTCTCTGGGAAAATGAATGGATACCATACTAAACTGGAAATAAACTTTACATTTTGAGCTTATCAACTTGTTTTTCATGGATTGTGCTTTTGTCATATCCAAGAAATCTTTGCCTAACCCAAGTGACAAACATCTATATTTTCTTCTAGAAGTGTTACAGTTTTTGGTTTTACATTTATATTTGCTAGATAACCGAGTTGAACTTCTCCATGTCCTCTGACTCACACATCTAGAAAATAACAGATGGCAGTATATTATTAAAAAGTGTCTCTTGTGGCCAGGCGAGGTGGCTCACGCCTGTAATCCCAGCACTTTGGGAGACCTAAGCAGGCGGATCTCCTGAGGTCGGCAGTTTGAAACCAGCCTGAACAACATGGAGAAACCCCCGTCTCTAATAAAAATACAAAATTAGCCAGGCATGGTGGTGCATGCCTATAATCCCAGCTACCCAGGAGGCTGAGGCAGGAGAATCTCTTGAAGCCAGGAGGCTGAGGTTGCAGTGAGCAGAGACCACGTCATTGCACTCCAGCCTGGGCAACAAAGAGTGAAACTCCATCACATAAAAAAAAGTGTCTCTTGTAGGCAAGGGAGAGGAGAGGAAGGTATAAGTGTTCAAGGACACCGGCAAGGGCTAAACATTTCTATAAAATACATGTCCTGTTCAAAGCATTTCAGCCAAAAAATGTCCCAAGCTAAACAAAGAGGAACATAGTTCATGTGTTAAAACTACTGAAATTCATTTTTGCTAGGTGAAATGGAGTACATTCCTATATACAGAATCCGAGAATGAAGATGAGACATACCTTGCAATGCAGTTGCCTGGCTTCTCTGAGAGAATCTAAATGAAAATCCTATGTAAGTGCATTCTCCTGGCAAAACCACCCCATCAGGTATGGCATGTACATTTCACCAGAAACTCTTAAAGACTTTGGGTCTTGATTTTCTTTATGACCTTATACTTTTTCGCATACCAACCACACTTGACTTAATATATGTGTTTTAATATTTAAAATGGTTTGGGACCTAAAATTTACATAAAAGTTTGACATTTTTAGCCGGGCACGGTGGCTCGAATTTGTAATCAACACTTTGGGTGTCCAAGGCAGACAGATGACAAGGTCAGGAGTTTGAGACCAGCCTGGCCAATATGGTGAAATTCCATCTTTACTAAAAATACAAAAATTAGCCGGGCATGATAGTGGGTACCTGTAGTCCCAGCTACTTGGGAGGCTGAGGCAGGAGAATCACTTGAACCCAGGAAGCAGAGGTTGCAGTGAGCTGAGATCACGCCACTGCACTCCAGCCAGGCAGCAGAGTGAGACTCCATTTCAAAAAAAAAAAAGTTTGACATTTTTATTTGAAGTTCTCATGTTACTGTAAAAATTAGCAAACTGATTCTATGTTCATATGAAAATATGGACAATTCATAAGGAAACGCAAAGGACGTGAGATAAAGGTTTAACATTGTTATTCAAAATTCTCATCTTTTTGTAGAAGATTCCAAAATTCATATGGAAAAGCAAAGGATTCTGAAATAAAGAACCAGCCAGGTGCAATAGCTCATGCCTGTAACCCCCCGCACTATAGGAGACGGAGGCAGGGGGATCACCTGAAGTCAGGAATTTGAGACCAGCCTAGTCACTACGGTGAAACCCGGTCTCTACCAAAAAATGCAAAAATTAGCTGAGCATGGTGGCGTGCACCTGTAATTCCAGCTACTTGGGAGGCTGAAGCAGGAGAATCACTTGAACCCGGGAGGCAGAGGTTGCAGTGAGCTGAGATTGCACTCCAGCCTGGGTGACAGAGTGAGGCTCTGTCTCAAACTCTGTCTCAAAAAAAAAGAACAAAATTGGCAGACTAATACTACCTTATTTCAAAAATTATTATAAAGCTACTGTAAAAAGATGGTGTGGTAGTGGTGTCAAGACAGGCAACTAGAACAACGGGACAGAATAGAGTCCAGAAATAGATCTACGCGAATTTGATCAACTAATTTCAACAAAGGTATCGGTGGAACAAAGAAGACCTTTTCAACATGTGGTGCTGGAATAATGAATATCCATTTGCAAAACAATGAACCTCAACCCATAGTTGCATCATATATAAAAATTAACTCAAAATAGATAATAGAACTAAATATAAAACCAAAAACTATAACACTTCTAGAAGAAAATATAGAAGATGTTTGTTACCTTGGATTATTAGGGAAATATTTATTGGATATGACATTAAAAGCACAACTCATGAAAACAACTTGATAAACTCACCATCAGCATTTAAAACTTTTGCTCTTCAAAAGATATTAAGAGAATGAAAAGCCAAGCATCAGACTGGGGGAAAATATCTGCAAATCACATAACTCATAAAGTCCTATAGGGGGAACAAAAAACTCTCAAAACACAATAGTAAGAAAACCACTCAATAAAACGTATTCAAAGGTTGAATAGACCCTGTCCCAAAGAAGATATACACATGGCAAGTAAGCACATGAAAAGATACTCAACATGAACTCATTAGTGAAATGCAGTGAAAACCAGGAGGCACCACCACATACCTTTTGGAATGGCTCAAGTCAAAAATACTGATCCTACTAAGTATTGGTGAAGAAGAAACTTAAACTCTCATGCACTGCTGATGGAAATCTAAAATGACAGAACCACTTTGAAAAACAGTTTGCAGTCTCTTTAAAGAGTTAAACACAGGCCGGGTGCGGTAGCTCATGCCTGTAATCCCAGCACTTTGGGAGACCAAGGCGAGCAGATCACAAGGTCAGTAGTTCGAGACCAGCCTGGCCAATATGGTGAAGCCTGATCTCTACTAACAATACAAAAAATTAGCTGCATGTGGTGGCGTGTGCCTGTAATCCGGGCTGCTCAGGAGGTTGAGGCAGGATAATTGCTAGAACCTGGGAGGTGGAGGTTGCAGTGAGATGAGATTTTGCCATTGCACTCCAGCCTGGGAAACAGAGCAAGACTCCTTGGCAAAAAAAAAAAA